ATATATATATATATATATATATATATGTATATACATATATATATACATATACATATATATCTATTCGCGCAAGACATCAGCATACCCGACTCAAGCTTAACCGGACACGCACGATGTATCTATTCGCTTCCTCGGATACAATACATCCACTCAAGACATCAGCATAGCAAATCCTACCTCTATATATATATATGTATATATATATATGTATATATATATACACACACAGCCCAATCAGATCGATATGACAACTCTTATTGCAACGAACGGTTCACATCTAAAGCCGTTCAAGTCACGGTCCCCGTGTGAACTACGACCAGAAATAGCAGTAGGTCCAATTTTTCACGTTTTGAGCATCCAAAACATCCTATTGTTCTTTTTTACCCTTTATCGGGAGGAAAAGAAAAATAAATATCTGATTCACTCGTGCAGTGCTCGATTCATAATCGCACTCGTTCCGTATCTTCTTTTTCTGATTAGAGAAACTTCGATATTTTCATCAGCCATCTCTCTTTCCCGTCACCCCCCTCGTTACTTCTCGATATTTCTTTTTTTTTTTTTCTTTTATCGAAGGCTTCTGCCTCTTCACAATACGCCAAAATCCGCCACTTTTGTCCGCTTCTCTATGAAACCGTTCGTTCCCGGGACCCCACGTCTTTCGCCTTTTCATTGAGTCACGGACGCTGCACAAAAAATATCTCGCTTCCATCTCTTTTTCTCCTCCTCGGGTGACCATTCTTTTTCCCCCTTCAATGCATTCTCATCTTGGATCCCCGGCTTCCCGCACGTGACTCACCGCCTAGGATTAGTAGGCTCTTTTGATTGAAGGCCGCGCCTTCGCGAAGAGAGGCGAATCCCATTCTCGAGTTTTTGTGGCCTCACTCGGCTGTCGTACACAGTGGTTACTTCTCTTCCAACTCAATTCTGTTTTCCTCTTCTTTTTTTCTCTCAGTTCGCGTGGTATGATTTTGATTGTTTATAATCCATTCCAACTTCATTGTGTTTTCTGATGATTCGAGTTCTTTATATCGTAGCCGGCCATTTCCTTCTTTCCTTTTTCGGGTCTTAATCCGTATTCGAAGCTTTTGTCGAAAAGCAAAAGACAAGAAATACTTTAGAACAGCTAAAATTATAATTGAGATACATATTGCTGAGCTCACATGTCGTGGTTATGGATTCTTTAGGGAGCTTTCCCATGGCAACTACCAAAGAAACCAATGCCACAAAGGTTCCCGCTATCGCCCATCCTTTGGCAGAAGAATCGTCGGAGATCGCGTCCAATATCGCCTACCATGCTCGCTATAGCCCTCACTTTTCCCCTCTCAAGTTTGATCCAGAGCAAGCTTATTATGCCACCGCAGAAAGCGTTCTTGATCTCCTGATTCAGGTGAGCCCTTAGGGGACTGGTACTCATCATCCTTGAGTTTGCTGATCATCTGGTGGTACGGTTTGCAGAGGTGGAACGAGACTTACCTCCATTTTCACAGAATTGACCCCAAGCAGACATATTACTTGTCGATGGAGTACCTACAGGGTCGTGCTCTGACTAACGCCATCGGAAATCTTGGAGCGTCGGGTGCATATGCTGACGCTTTAAATAAATTGGGTCACGAACTTGAAGAAATTGTTGAGCAGGTACTATATCTCCTCGGTCAGACCTCACATTCTTCTCAATCCTTAGGCCGTCTTAATATTGGAGAGGTTGTTACACATAAATAAGATGAAAGAGAGAGAGAGAGAGAGAGAGAGAGAGGAAAATGGAATCACGAAGAGGAGGGATGCTATGGGATGGAGATGGGGTTCATATTCTTAATCACAACCTGAGATTTTAACTTATCTACTTGCTATAGTGACATAAATAGGCTCCCACTCCTGTTATTCTCAATTCTCAAAAATCTTAATCGTTTAGGACTTTGCAACTATCAATCATGGACAAAGTTCAGATAATTGTTAGTGGCATCATCTAAACCCAATTCTTTTAGAAATTAACAAGTAAATGCTATTTTACAGAAACATCATCTGCACATCTAAAATCTAATTGAAGTTCTTACGCAATATGCAACTGGAAATTCTGTTGATGGAAACTATGAAATTTACTCATCTACAGCAGGAATGAAGAAAGATGAGTAATAAAACCCTCTTCGAGACCCAAGGTGAAGGGAAAGAGAGGAATGCATTTTCTCTGACAGCAGCTACTATAGAATTTCCTGGAAAGACTATAGTTATGTAACATTGTGGTCATGATACTGGATTTCTCAATTTCAAAGCAGATAATCTAAATGGCAATCTATAGTAGAGTCCCATCTGGATATAAGGCATGGCTTTACCTTGCAAATATTTTTGAAGAAAGAAGACATCGAGTATATGCATCAGGAAAGTTTCTGTCAACAGCTGGCCATTTCTATTCAATCTACAATATGCTTAAACCTAGAAGTAAAGAACAACATAAAGCTCCTTTAACTTTCAATTATTATCTTCTCTTGAATTGATGCTCAAAGTGAGCTTTATTATTTTACATATAAAGCATGTTGAAAGCAACTTCCCTTCATGACACTGCAACTTTCTTTTATTGTTTTCCTATCATCTTATTGCTACTTCTTTAATGTAACCGCTTTAGTATATTCATTTTTTCCAATCATCAATCCCTGACATTTTGAACATGCTGCCAAGAATATACCATGGATATGTGTTTCCATGCAGTAATTGTTTTCAATTTTTTGAGTAATTCATGGAAAATGTTGCTGTTGTATGCTTCCAGTGGCAAAGAATTTACTTGTTTATGTTTGAAGACCATACCTTTGTTAGTTTCCTCGTTATCGTTTCCTTCTGTCATGTAGAACTTTATATATTGACAATTATCATCATGGATGAAAATTTCACAGACTGTATCAAGGCACTGGTATGTCATCATTATTTTATCTTGGAAATTACATACGACATGCCTTTGCAGGAGAAAGATGCAGCATTGGGAAATGGAGGTTTGGGAAGACTTGCATCTTGCTTTCTAGATTCAATGGCAACATTAAACTTACCTGCTTGGGGTTATGGTCTACGATATAGATATGGCTTATTTAAGCAACGGATCTCTAAGGAGGGCCAAGAAGAGGTAGCTGAAGATTGGCTTGAGGTACTTTTTGCTCTTATAGCTCTTTGTATTTTTTACTATCATAAAAGACTTATGAAAAAACTGGTGTCTGTTGATGTTCACTTTGACAGAAGTTCAGTCCATGGGAGGTTGTCAGGCATGATGTTGTGTATCCTATCAGATTTTTTGGCCATGTCGAGATCTCCCCCACAGGATCGTAAGTGCATTTACTTTGGCACTTTGTTTCTCTGAAGCAGTTAAAAGCGAAGCTACAATTTCTACTTGCTACTTTGTCGTTTCTTAAATGATCTGTAGGCATATGCACAAGCAGTTTGCTTACTTTGAGAATTCTGGCCCTTTGATGTCATTATTTCATTTGCTTCTTATTCAAAAATACATCAAGGTTATGATGAACGTTGAGTGGACTTGTACGGTCAATATGGAGTGCATGGAAGAAGCACAAATTGAATTTTGAATTGAGTTTGCAGATTGTTGAGATGAAGCATGGAATTTATTTTGTTGAATTTTGTAGAGAACTCTTTCTATCTACCAATCTATACCCTTCTTTTTTGGTGTCCAACAAAGACACACTGGTATCTGTCACTGATGCGCTTATATTTTTCTTGTCATTTTTAAGTCGCAAATGGGTTGGAGGAGAGATAATACAGGCATTGGCATATGATGTACCAATACCTGGATACAAGACAAAAAATACCATTAGTCTTCGCCTTTGGGAAGCAAAGGCTAGCGCTGAAGACTTCAATTTGTTTCAGTTTAACGAGGGACAATATGAATCAGCTTCTCAGCTTCACTCAAGAGCACAGCAGGTATAACTTTTATTATCTATACAAAAGTCACCAATATAGACTGGATAGTGTGGCCTCATCATCTTAAGCTAAACTAAGTTTTACATGTCATCAGAAAAACTCAAAGACCTATGAGCTTGTCCAGGCGAATTGCATATTCCATATGTTTCTTTTCAAATGATATATGTTGGTGATTCTTTGTGGTTCTTTTGCATACATTTATGATAGTAAGCTCTCTGGGGCTTTAAGATTAAGTAGTTTAAATGGATTTGGTCTCTACAACATCTAATCATTTGAAATTATGAAAAATTCAGTTGGTGTTAGTTGCATCAATTTATAGTAGGCACTTGAGAAGGCCTTGACCAGTTTAATTTTGGTTGCAGATATGTGCAGTTTTGTACCCCGGTGATGCTACAGAAAACGGGAAAATGCTGCGACTGAAGCAACAATTTTTCCTCTGCAGTGCATCATTGCAGGTTTGTTAAATATAACAGCTTGATCTGCAGTATTCTTTGATTAGGTGCCATCTAATGAAAATCATTGAGACTTTGGTTTTATTGCATTATCATACATGACTCACAGACAATGATTGTCATATATTCTGCCAGTGACACGCAGGGAAAGACTAGGTTCTTGTCTCCACCATTTTAATGGGTGGTAGGTAGATAGTGAATCTTGTGTGTCATTTTGGTCATAAATGAATAAGTGGGCCACACAGACTTTGAGTTTTAGTGATGACCAGGGGTGCACACCCCACCTCTGCAACCGTGTAGGTTGATTCTTGGAGAACTTATCTTGGTTCTAGCACATTGAAAATAGGAAAATACTATACTTGCAGAAGAAGATTGTTCATGTTGTTCCTTTAGTTTGCATTTTGCTTATAGGCTAATTGTCTTAAAGTTACTGTGTAACACCCCCGATTAGTCCCACAACGGGAGTGGGCAAGATTAAGATTGGCTTATAAGGGTCTGATGAGTGTACTACTATCAACTTCAATTTAAGCATTTTGGTCAGTAGTTTAGACCAAACGAAGTTGATAGGCCAATTAGCTCATCAGGCTCGGGTCTTGACATACTGTGGTTGTATGAGATTACCAAAACCACTTCGCAATTCTGTCTGCTTCCTTGATGCTACTTTGGTGAACTATGCAGGACATCATAATGAGATTTAAGGAGAGGAGGTCAGGAAACATGACGTGGAAGTGGTCTGAATTCCCCAGCAAAGTTGCTGTTCAACTGAATGATACTCACCCAACACTTGCCATACCAGAACTGATGAGATTGCTCATGGATGATGAGGGACTTGGCTGGGATGAGGCGTGGGATGTGACAACAAGGTGTGTTTAGTAATTTCATTTATGTTACGACAAGGTGTTGTAAAGCTTTTGCCATGATGCTTTTATCAATGCTCTTGACCTAGATTTTCTTCAAAATTTTGCTTCAGAACTGTCGCTTATACCAACCACACTGTTCTTCCCGAGGCACTGGAGAAATGGCCCCAAGCTATAATGTATAAGCTTCTTCCACGACATATGGAAATCATTGAAGAGATCGATAAGCGGGTATTCTGATTCTGTTTGCTTCTATCTCCATTTCACTGTAACCCTAAGTTAATGTGTTGTAGTATTCTGGTTTTGCAGTTTATGGCAATGATTCGCTCCTCTTTAAATGGCATGGAGAGCAAACTCCCTGCTATGCAAATCTTAGATAGCTCCAATCCTCTTAAACCTGTGGTGCGGATGGCAAATTTGTGTGTAGTGTCTTCTCATACGGTATGAAGTTCCTTTTGAAATGAGTCATTTAAATTCTCAACTTCTGCTGTTTGATAGCTGGGATTCATGATCTAATAGTGTCAGGCTTTGTGCTGATCAAGAAGGCAAAAACTTTTAGCTATTTAACATTATTTTACCCTTTATCAACTCAATTAGCTCATGAGGTCTACAATATTTTACCTTCATGTTCCTGGTGAATATCAGTTTCTTTGATAGCAGTTGGGACATTATGGCTTGTTATTGTATGTCAGTTTATTTGGTTACCATGATATTTGTGAGTAAGTTTGATAAAAATATATGCAGGTGAATGGAGTAGCCCAGTTACACAGTGACATTCTGAAGTCAGAGTTATTTGCAGATTTCTTTTCCATATGGCCTACGAAGTTTCAGAATAAAACTAATGGAATTACACCTCGTCGATGGATCCGGTTTTGTAGCCCCGAGTTAAGTGACATTATCACCAAATGGCTTAAAACAGATGAATGGATTACAAATTTTGACCTCCTTTCTGGTCTCCGTCAAGTACGTACGTTGCGATGTTTGTTTTCATGATATGCTCTGTGCATCCGAATTCTGACCAAACACATAATCTGCTGATATTTTTAATAGTTTGCTGGCAATGAGGAATTGCATGCTGAGTGGGCTTCAGCCAAGATGGCGAACAAACAACGCCTGGCACAGTATGTATTGCATGTTACTGGTGTCACCATTGATCCCAATAGCCTCTTTGACATACAGGTTAAGCGGATCCATGAATACAAAAGACAGCTTCTGAACATTCTGGGAACAGTCTACAGATACAAGAAACTAAAGGTACAAATGTTGATCTGAACCTCAAATTCACTACGGTAGGCATGCATTAGAAGGCCTCAAAAAAGTGCTGAATCTACTTATGTTTTAAACACCATCAATAGGTGACATGCAAAACTGATGCAATTGTACTTTGTCTCTGTACATAACTCCACTATCATCAACCAGGTAGTGTCCAGATGATTAAATTATGAATTGTGACTGGGCTTGTTGAAACCAAATAATTAGCTATTCAGGTAAACTCTAAGCAACATGTTAGAAAGTACTAATTGCTTCAGCATGACGTTGAAGTAAGTTGGTCCAGCTGCATTTCATTCTCCAGATGGACACCTTTTCAATGATAAATCTGGAGTGAGTTGCAGACTTTTCTTTAGATTGTCTCATATGACTTTTGGCACTTTGTATCCTAGGAAATGACTGTTGAAGAGAGAAATAAAATGACATCAAGGACAGTCATGATCGGTGGAAAAGCATTTTCAACATATACTAATGCTAAAAGAATCGTCAAGCTGGTTAATGATGTTGGTGCAGTGGTCAACAATGATCCTGAAGTGAACAACTATCTGAAGGTACGGTGGTTTGATATTTGCACAACTTATTTTGATTTTCTCTTCTTGGGGTCAAGAATGGTCAAACTCCATACAGTTTTGCTTTGTGCCACTGGGGTCTAATTGGTAAAAAGAACATCACTAAAAATGGAGTTTCATTTTTAGTGATTGTTTAGACGACTCCAAGTTCCACACAGAGAGCAGTGATGGTTCTGGGAGAGGATCTTATTTACAGTTCCCTTGTCATTCTCCAGGTCGTTTTCATTCCAAACTACAATGTTTCTGTGGCTGAGATTCTCATTCCTGGCAGTGAGCTATCTCAGCACATCAGCACAGCAGGCATGGAAGCAAGTGGGACTAGCAACATGAAGTTCTCGCTAAATGGTTGCATCATAATTGGGACTTTAGATGGTGCCAATGTCGAAATTAGAGAAGAGATAGGAGAAGACAATTTCTTTCTCTTTGGTGCCAAAGCTGATGAAGTCCCAAGGCTGCGTAAAGAGAGAGAAAAAGGACTGGTAATTGTCCATGATCTTCATAGAATCAGTTTATCAGATACTTTCTGCTTTTTCAAATGATGTGTTTATTGTTGCAAATATCCATTCTTATTTATATGGCCATGCATTTGTGGGCTCAATTATTCTGCAAAAGTCTTGATAAGCTGAATGAGATTTACTGATGATAATTCTATGCATTCTTGCACCATGTGAGCTGCCATACCAAATCAACCGATTGAATAATTGCTTTCGGTTGCTAATCAGAGTCCATCTCAACTTTTTACAGTTCAATCCAGATCCACGTTTTGAAGAGGCCAAACAATTTATTCGGAGTGGTGCATTTGGTAGCTATGACTACAACCCTCTACTGGATTCCCTGGAAGGAAATTCTGGCTATGGCCGTGGTGATTATTTTCTTGTTGGTCATGACTTCCCAAGTTATATTGAGGCACAGTCCAGTGTGGACGAAGCATACAAGTAAGGAAACTGATACCCAGCAGTAATTTTTTATATCCTGGATGCCTAATAAATGCTGCACGTATTGTTGAGACATTTAATGGCTTTAGCAATATGCAAATATGATAAGATATTATCAATGATAGCTTATAAAAAATTTGATCTGAAACATAGTGGTAAATAATGTGAATGAAGCTAGGATGAAGGCCAAAATAGAGGATGTTTCTTCTGTTACAGTAAGTAGTCCTTAGATCTTCTTTCTGCAACTGCCTCCACAGCTTACATATGAATTAGAATTTTGAATTAATTATGAATTTTTATATTTCAACTAGTGCATCATACATCTGAGTTGATACTCCTTGAATGGTCATTATATCAGTAATTTAGTATGTCAGGAGAAGTGGGCAAAAAGAATACGGAGGATATTGTTTTCATGTAAAATGCATGCGTGTAAGGCTTGCTTTTAATCTTTCTCTGTTTTTGCCACAGAGATAGAAGAAGATGGTTGAAGATGTCGATATTGAGCACTGCGGGCAGTGGCAAGTTTAGCAGCGACCGAACCATTTCCCAATATGCAAAAGACATATGGGACATAACAGCTTGTCCTGTACCTTAAATGTGATGCGGATGCGGAGCTCCAGAGGGATTTAGTACATGCTAATAAAGTTCCAGACGGGTGTTGCGAAGACATCTAGTGCTGTTAAAGTGGTTTCGATACCTTATACTTTGTTACCAGTAACAATCATATAACGCAGCACGCATTTTATTAATCACTTTAGTTTCTCATCTTAGGCCACTAACCAACTTAAACGGTTGAGGAGATCTTATTAGGTGCATCCTCGATACGTTTGTTCGATGTTATTGGCTACACGTTTATGATTCTCGAGCGAATTCATTTGTAGGTTCGAGCTCAATTTGGACTACGAGCTCATGGCAAATATCGCAAGAGAATTAAATGAGTTTAAAGCAACTCAACAATGAGACTTTCTCGCTCGATTTATAGTCCCATAGTGTCAAATTCTCCCTAGAACTATTGGAATCTCTTGGGTAACCATTTCTTGTATAGTGACTCTTTAGGAGATGGGTAATTGGCCCAAAGAAGGCTTCGGGCAACCTTATGGCCTGCGTTTATGGTACTTCGAATGCCAAGGTATCCAAGCAAGTCACACTTTGTGGTAAAGTCATGTGGGTCCAGTTCATTACTATATCTAATATTGTGTAATTTTTTTTCTCAGATTGAGCTAAGATGTATAAAGAGGTATTCATTAGGGATAGAATTCAATGGTCATTGAGGAATTGGGTGAACTCTATACTTAAGTATTTATTTCTTGATCTGATCGAAGAGTCTTGATATTTTTCCTAGTCTGATTCTCCATTTCATTCTTATATTCCTTGAATTTCTTGAAAGTCTCGGATTTGTGCTTCATTAAGTACACATGTTAATACTTTGAGAAATCGTTAGTAAAGGTAATGATGCGGGAGTAACTACTCATGACATGAGCTGACATGGGACCATATACATTATATGCATGAGTTCTAGTAACTTAGTAGTTCTCTTACTAGTTCTACTAAACGAAGAGTTTGTTAGTTTTCCACAAAAATAAAACTTGTAAGTTGCATATGACTCATAGTCGAATAAATCTAGGTATCAATCCTTTAATAATTTTTAAATCATTCCCTCATGGATATGACATAGACATATATACATATATATATATATATATGTATATATATATATATATGTATATATATATATATATATATATATATATATGTATATATATATATATGTATATATA